AAAAATTTCAATAATAATATTAGAGCATTGGAGATGCTCTTACATGACATGTAACTTTTTTCTAAGAAACCCAAAGCATTGTGGGTGCTCTAACACACAAAAACTATTAATTTACACCACGCAACTATTACGACACCAATTGTAAGATCAAAGGTCGGAATCCAAGAAAGCCTCAGCAGATAAATCCATTATCCATCGCCGAACACTTCCAAAGAAAAAAGACTCACGAAAAGTAAAAACATGACGCAAGATTCATTCTTTTAGCGACACGTACAACCCCTCGAAGCGGTGCCCTCTCCCTTTCTCTCCAATGAATCTATCCGTTGCTGGCGGTCCCTCTCTGAAAAGGACAGCCCCAATATCATAATTAATTGCACTTTCACCCCCCTACCCTACCCTACAAAATTCCCTTTCGATTTCAATCGAGCTGTGTTTCTTGTACTACACTTATCATCTATCAACGCTCTGTTCATTACATGTAGTGTGTGTGTGTGTATGCGTATGCGTGTGTGTGTCCTTCATAATTTCCTTCTACAGATGCGCTGTTCAGTTTCCATGATATTATTGGGATGAGCGATTCAATGTGCTGTTACAACACTATTTTGGGGGTATTTAGTTGCTTGTGAGAGAGAGAGGACCTGTTAAAGTGTGTAAATTTGCCATCGCAATTGTTTGGACGAAATAAAGATTCGATTTTTATTCACACTTGGTTGTTTTTTCGGGTATTTGTGAGGTACTTTGGCTGAGGCCGTTATGATCGAGCCTCTCTCCTGCTTTAGAATTTAGAATAGTTGTTGGGTTTTAAGTGGAGGTTTTCCAAGATTTAAAGATTTTGAAGCCCATTGGTTTTTTATCTTTCTATTTTATTTTAATTTCAATATTTATTGCGATATAAATAGTCTGCTGCTGCTGCTGCTGGTGGTGGTTCAGTAAATATCAAGAGTCATTATTGTTGATATGAGGCAGGCCTCTCCCTCACATAGTGATAGCCAAAGAGGAGTAGCCATGGCTGGTGCTCTTGTGCTGCTCTTACCTTTCATTTTCCCTAGTCTTTTCACGCATTTGGGCCATGCTTTTCCCTCTGTTCTCTCGGTATGTTCTTGAACTTGGGCATCTGCGCGGGCTCGTGTGTGTGTGTGTGTGTGTGTGTGTGTTTTCGTTTCTTTCCTTTATTTATTTTTTCACTTTCTTGTGTTTACAGGCGATGTGATTTGTGTATATTGTGTGTGCATCTGGGTTTCCTATATTGGGATTCTGTTTCTTTACTTAATTTTATTTTGCTTTTGATATCTTTTGTTATTATCTTAGTTGAGAGGAGGAAGCATATGTATAGGCTGTGTCGTTGAATTTTAGTCACTGTGGCTGAAAAAAGATAGTTGATGGGATTTGGATGGGCGTTAACTTTGAAATTAAGCTATGGTAGCTGAAAAGGATATAGTGGAAAGAGTGCATTTTTGTTACAAATTGCTGGAGTATGGAGTGCCAGGTTTAGTTGATTTGGACGTTGTTGACTAAATGTATGCTGCTGTGTTTTGCTTATTATTTGACACATGGTAGTCTTTCCAGAAGAAACTGAAAAAGATAATGTGTCTATCATTAGGCGCGATGGATTGCTTGCTTATTCTATCTACCATATTCTATGAATTGTTAGAAGGTTAGAATAAGGTCAGGGCAGGGAAAATATACTTAATTATCATGAACTATACTTATTCAGAGGAACGGATCTAACCGGTTCTAATTCATGCGCACTGATAACAGATGAACGAACTACCAATTCCTAAGCATTTGTGCGTTCTATATACGTTATTTAACCAACCGAAGATACTTCTTGTTTGTTAGCGGTGACTTGCTTTTCTTCTTATTTGGTATATGATATATCTCATGGTCTCTTTATTTAATGCAGGAGTGGAATGCCCCTAAACCTAGACACTCTCGATTACTTAAGAGTGCCTTACAGCGCCAAATAGTGAGTAAAATTTAACTCATTTATTTTGCAGATGTACCTACGACCAAGAAATTGGTAAATAAATACTAATGTAACTAGTTCTTAAAGTTAACTGTTGATTTCTGTTTGTTTAGCCTGAAAGAAGACAGGCTGACCTATGGATGCCTTTGGCCCATCAACGACTGAAACCTTGTGCTATATCTGAACTCACCTCCTGTAACTTTCTAACATCTTAGCTGGTTTCAATTATTTTTTTTTTCTTTTTTCTTTTTTTCTTTCTTCTTTCCTTCTTGTAACGTTGTCTTTTGATGTGAAGCGGCGTTGCCAGAGAAATCTCGGGGATATATTCAGGTCTTCCTTGACGGGGGACTAAATCAGCAAAGGATGGGCGTGAGTATTTCAAGCGATAATTACTAGATGATAATAGGCATAGCTAGAGAATCTTTTCTTGAATAGTTAATGAGTTGTCTCTCAGCAACTGATATGTGTCTGTTGTGTTGCAAAGATTTGTGATGCAGTTGCTGTTGCCAAAATACTGAATGCAACTCTCATAATTCCTCATCTTGAAGTAAATCCCGTGTGGCAAGATTCAAGGTATCCATCAAGTGGCTCGATCATATCTTTCATAATAATCTGTTGACTCTTATCATGTCAGAACATTTCTTTTACCATGACTAAATGATACTCTCTCTCTATCTCAGCACGTTTATGGATATATTTGATGTGGATCACTTCATTAATGTATTGAAAGACGACATATCTGTTGTTAAAGAATTGCCGGATGAATATTATTGGAGCACACGGGAGTATTATGCCACCGCAATTCGAGCCACCAGAGTGAAAACAGCACCTGTTCATGCATCGGCCCACTGGTATATAGAGAATGTATTGCCTGTCCTAGAGAGGTTGGTTAATAGGAGATTATTTTTCCTTGATGTATGTTAGTTTTATAAGTTTGTCATGATGATCCTGACTGCATGTTCCCAATATACACTTCTTTTGTTACTAGCATGTAAATCTTGTGTGTACGTCATGAATTTCGTAAATGGTTTGGGCAACAGTGGTTCAGATAATCCGGAAGTTCAAATGTCATTCTGGGTCTAATGGGCTTGATTTGATTTATACATTTAGTGATAGTAATTAGTGATATGAAAAAACTCAAAAGATGCACAGTTCATGTTCTAAGAGCCGACTAGTCATGTTCTTTAATATTTATGTTGGTATATAACTCGAGTATCTTTGGTTTGACCAGCTATGGAATTGCTGCAATTGCACCATTCTCACATCGTTTGGCCTTCGACAATATGCCTGAGGAAATCCAACGGCTGCGTTGTAAAGTCAACTTTCAGGCCTTAGTTTTTGTTCCCCACATCAGATCTCTTGGAGATGCTCTTGTGAGTCGTCTTAGACAGTCTCTGAACACACATGAAGTGGGCAGGAATAACTACCTTGAAAAATTCGGTGATGTTGTGGACAAGAAAGGGACCGGAAAGTTTGTGGTTCTCCATCTTCGGTTTGACAAGGTATGCTTGCTCTCTATTACCATTGAGTTCTGGTCACTGAAAATTTTTGACCATACACATCTGTATCTACATCTTATATGCTAAACTTTGCCTTGTCTATATAGAGTGCTAATTAATTATTAAAGTACACACGCAAGGTTTAGTTTGATTGTTAAAACAACCCAACTATATTTCAAGATTGACGGTGCCCCCAAACCCAATTTTTTTTTTCCTTAATTGGGTGAAATTACAAGGTTAGTCCCATAATTACCCATGATAAGGTCGGTACAAAAATACTTGGAAAGGAAAAATGTTTTGAGCATCAGTTTTGCCTTCTTCTTGAATGAATAATCTTTTTATTATCTGTTCTTTTTCCTGCCAGGATATGGCTGCCCACTCAGCATGCGACTTCGGTGGAGGTAAGGCTGAAAAATTGGCTCTGGCAAAGTACCGACAGGTTATATGGCAGGGCAGAGTTTTAAATTCTCAATTTACTGATGAGGAGTTGAGGAGTCGAGGACGGTGCCCTTTGACTCCCGAAGAAATCGGTTTGCTCCTAGCAGCTTTAGGATTCAACAACTCAACTCGCTTATATCTTGCTTCCCACAAGGTCCAAATCTTCAGTTTTTATTTCAACAACTCAACTCGCTTAAACCTCTGATTATGTTCAGTATTTAAAAGAAAATTAAAAGACTTGAGGTTTTCTATAACGCCTTGAGGCTGCTGAATGTTATTTTTGTTTTTCTATTTCAGGTGTATGGTGGGGAAGCTAGAATTTCAACCTTACGAAGTTTGTTTCCTTTTATGGAAGACAAAAAGAGCCTAGCCTCCTCAGAAGAAAGAGGTCAAATTAACGGAAAGGCTTCATTGTTAGCTGCTGTTGATTATTATGTCAGCATTCACAGTGATATCTTCATTTCAGCTTCGCCTGGAAATATGCACAATGCCGTGGTAAGCTCATTTCAGCGCTAGTTAATTATATATTAAGCTTTGGTTTAAACTACTTTGAGGAGATGGTTTTAGATTTTATTGTATGTGACATATCTGATGGCAGCAAGTCAATTAGTGATTGGGCGGGAAGCGTGCATGAATCATGAATTACCAGAAACCACATCTATATTGCAATTTGCAATATGCCATTGTATTAATATGTAGTCATGCATTGATTGATCGAATTTAAAAACTTTCTCTACGTTTTTTGGGAAGCTTATGTAATTTTTAACCTTGAACAACCAGGTGGGTCATCGTACGTACGAAAATAAAAAAACCATAAGGCCTAACATGGCATTGTTGGGCCAGCTTTTCCTGAACAAGACCCTAAATTGGCCAGAGTTCGAAAGTTCTGTTGTTGAAGGGCACAAAAACAGACAAGGGCAGCTCAGGCTACGTAAGCCCCAACAGTCAATATACACATATCCTGCTCCTGATTGCATGTGTAATGCTTGAGGTGATTTGTTTGCCTGCAACAGTAATATACACATATCAATGTACACATTAACCTGCTCCTGATTGATTGCATGTGCAATGGTGAAGTGATCTTTTGCCTTTAGATTATAGTAAACAGGCCCCACTACTGTTTCTGGCTTGTAATATCTTCTGGAATAAGGTATGACTTCTCTTTTGTTTAGTTATAGAGTTGCTCGAAAGACATACCGAAGGAATTCATCTGTGTTTGGAGACTGGTGTATTTAATGTCGGCTCGTAATATATTCTTGGTGTGAAATTTGAGGTTATTGGATAGTTAGGAATTTATGTAATGTGTTCCATATTCTGGGATAATGCTGTTTGTCGGAGTTTGTGTTTCTTTATTTTTTTGATGAAAAGTGAAAAATGCATTTCAAAAAAAGTAAGAGTGAGTGTACATCAAAGTTCCAAATTACACAAAGAGGCTAAGCCTACAAATAAAACCAATCAAAACTAAAAGATATAAAGACTACAGGAAAAAAAACAAAAGAAAACAAAAACCAAGCAACTCTAAACAGAGATATATACATATCGAGATACATACATATCAGCTGAAGGTAGAAACCAAGACTAAGACTTTCAGCTAAAACGAGAAGCACCCACACTCTCCTCCAATATAAAAGGAAAAAAAAAAAACTAACAGAAAGAGTCCAAACTTAAAAAATTCCAGCCAAAAAACACCAATCCTCCATAAAACGATGCTTTGACATTAAGCAGGGGGGACATCGTGGAACACAGTCCAATATGCTGTAAGGGTGGTGGTTCTAGAGGCCCGAAAAAGTTCCAGCTAAAGTTGTCCGTGTGCGTAAGTCCAGACCTGCGCTACGTATGTAAAGAAAGAGGAAGAAAAAAAATCTCAAAAGGAGGGGTGAAAGAATCCCCTTTTGAGTAAGCGGCCCACGAAAACGGATAAAACCCTAAAATAAAAAACAACGTGACATAACAAAAAACTAGAAATTAATGGCATCGGTAGGGAAGATAGAGTACATTACCTTATAAACTTGATTTTGAATTTTTGCAAATATAACTTTATGAGTAAAGGGCTCTCCGTCGAAAATAAATGCATTACGAGCTTTCCAAATATGGTATATGGTGCAACATAATGAGACCTTCCTGGCTTTAAGCATGATCGCCCCTCCTTTTTCTTTTTTAATCCATTTAATAGCACTAGCAATAGTGGTCATGGAGTGTTTGCAATTCAACCAACGACGGACTGAATCCCAAACTATTTTGGTTCCAGCACACTTAAGGAACAGATGATTAGCAGATTCTACATTAAGGAGGCATAACTTACAAGATTGATCCGTATTAAGGAAAGAGAGATTATTCAAAGTGGCCAACCTATCTTGAACACCAAGCCAAGTACAAAAGGAAAATTTTGGGGGAAAATTTTGTGTTTCTGTGATATGATGAGAACAGAACTCATTACATTCTTATTGTATGTTATAATATTAGTACCTTTGGGTTCACATGGATGCCAAGTTTGAGTATACTGTGTAAGTTCTTGTTTCCAATGGGTCGGATTGAGCCTATCGGTATCTGTAACCACTGAAGTTAGTTCCGCTAATCAGATGGCGGTAAGTATAAGTTGTACTATTAATGTTTATAATGCTTCAATGAAAATTGTAAAATTTATCTCTTCTTTATAAGGTAAATGAGAACTTAAAATATGGTCAAAACAAATTAGCAGGAGAAGATTTGATCACTATTTAGTATCATCGAAAACAATGTCAAGTGTAGTGTCTCTTCTTTCTGTAATATTTTTTTTTTCTCTCTTTTCTTTATTCTTATTAGAAACGTGCACACAACAAACGTTTTCATACAACAGACTTGGAACAAATCTAGGAACTGAGTGTCAACAACATATTATTTACAGTACCAACTACACCACCAGGTGCATGCACCACCGGGGCAAGGTGGAGATCATCACGCGTACCGTTTCCTCTAAAATTTATGACGCGCGAATGGTAGAAAACACAAACAGCACCTACAAACACTACTAAACCTCCTAGTATTTAAGCTTCACCACTTGAAAACTTTTATATATGCATTTTGAGAGTCCTTAAACCCTCTATTCTTGCTCGTCTATCTGATTACCAGACGTTGAACCGGGGCCAGTAGATCTATTGGAATCATTTTTTCCCTTCTCAGCCACAGCCAGTGCTGCCATTTCTTTTGAATCTTCTGTATTTGGTGCTGATGTCATCATCTGATCTTCCTCGTCAATCGGCAATGTCCTTTTCGATCCCTCTAAAGCAACTCCAAGCACAATATTTTCTTCTAGCGAGGGTTTAGCTGCAACAGACTGAGACTTGGGTGCAATATTGTCAGTTTTGGGATTAGATTGAGATTTAGAGTTCATGGCATGAACAGTTTTGTCATTTGATGCAAGCCCGTCTTTCTTGTTATGATCACTTGCCTCTGTTTGAGTTTTGGTCTTATCTTCTCCATTGATTTTATAAGAAGGCTCCATTAGCAGTAATGGTTGGATTGAGGTGGCCCCACGGGTGAACGAGTCTGAAAATGGTACGCTGTCCAAGTCAGCATCAGCGTATACATTTCGGACCGTACGGATTGGGGTAGCCAGTCGAGCATGGTGGTGGGCAATGACCCTGAGAAGGTCGAGGAGTACGGCTTCCTGTTTTCAGTCGAAAATGACAAAATAAAGTAGCTTAAGGCATACGCAACAAATTTTAATAATGGGACACAGGTTCAATGATGTGATTTGCATGACCTTATTTAGGCTCGCAAAACAGTGAAGAATGCACACGCACCTTAACACACAAGTATTCCTCAAAATGTGAGGTCTTCACGAAACAAGACACCATTATCTGTTATATAATGAGAGGTAATGAAGATTACCGTGATACCAGAAAACCACAGCATAATTAAAGCACTAAAAAGCAAATGATGGTAGTCAAATTATACGTATTATTCAATAATTAGAACAAAAATTACCGTCAGAGCTTGATTGTCTGGATTAATGTAATCCAAGAATATTCTTCTATGCAATTTCCGTTGTTCTACTTGAGGATTTTTTGCCAAAACCTTGCGCATGTCGGCTACAATGTTCTGCCCAGTGGGATACAAGATACTTTAGATAAAATAACCAAATGCAGAAGAGTTGACTCAAATCCGTTACAGCTAAACTCATCATCAGGCCAAAAAATGAACAACAAAATGATTGTCCTCACATTAACTTTGCCAACATCTAAATGACTGATGGCCAGGTGGGTTTTAATACGCCAATGAGTTTTTTGACTGAGATTTCTTACAACATTCACAGTGAACTTGTGGTTCGGAATGTGGACAGCTTCACGGTCATCGCCTCTGATTATAGTAGGTGACCACCATCCCACACGCTGCCAAGTGCAAATTGCAAAAATATCAATATCCTAATGTATTAGTAGATAAATTATAAAATTTGTGATTGGATGTTGAAAACCAAATTTACACACCTCGACCGTTCCGGAAATATCATAACCGCTAATCTTTGTCTGAATCCATTCATTCAATACAAATGGACGTGTTGAATGGATTATCAAACTTGAGAGAAAGTTTGTGAGTATCTGAAAATGACAAATGATATGCTTTTGAGACGTGACAGAACCATCAGACTTGAGGGAAAAACATGGTAAATGAAAATGACAAAAATAATCTCAAAATACTTGAGCATGCACTAAGACTAGTTTACACCTCACGCCCAGCAAGAGTGAGCAGAACGGTCCCTAGTCCTCCTGCTGTGATGCATTTTTGGGTCGAGAAGCCCAACAACTCCATGAACAATGATATAGCTGCAACCCATACAGCCGTGTATACTGCTCTGCCAGCAAATTGGAAGCCCATCTGGGAAGAATCAGAAAAAGATATTTGTAAAGGAAACTTAATAAATGGAAGTATCTCCAGTTTAAGGAAATGTGTTGGATGTTTCAAGCATATACAACTTTTACTGTTTCTCCTTTTGGGTCTTTCCTTAAAATAAAAATCTCATAATTAACACTCAATTGAAGTTGTAAGGAGTGCTCCAAGCCTTATCTACCTGAGATTTTTAAAAACACAAAGATTCAAATGTGGCAGTTACGCTGTACAGCAGCAATTAAAGTTCAGAGCATATGGAAATATTTGGATATTTTTAACACATTCTACGTTACAATTGTTCAAATATATAATCATTTCAAAATTCAGAAAATAAAACAATTCGGTTTACACTTTTACAAGAACACAGTAACCTTGTACATTTTGAACTTTTTACTCGAATCAAGTTACACTGATAAACAAGACTTGTGATAGAGCAATTATTTTACTCAATAATAGGCTTAAAATAGTTAAAGAGCAGTGAGGTCTGAATTATTAGAATCTATATTGAAAATTCTGTTAATTGAAGTTGGGACATACATTTCTGTTGTCGATTGTATCATTCGTCTCCATGAAGAACTTTTGTGATTGTTGGATTACACTGCACAAAATAATCACAATGCTTAGTTTTTCCTGAAGTATATGTGTCATGCAAGAATGTGAGTGGTCGATACTATTGGTGAGACATACTGAATCACAAAAAGCTAAGCCTTCATAGTATGAAAGATCAATGAAAAAGGAGAAAATGCAATAACGAACTGAGTCATTTATAAAACAGAACTGCGGAAACGTGTAGCTATTAATGGTTCACGAACTACACCAATACCACAAATTTCCTAGGTTGCCCACCTGGGAATCCTTATCCAAAATGGGGAATAGACCTATAAAGGATATAAGTTTGAGATTGTATAAATTGCATATAGAGACTGCAAAATAATATTGTGAAAGTGCATTAAGTAATCAACATAATGTATCACAGAAGTCACTCATTTGAGTGCACATATATATAAGACAAGCAGACAACAGACACGAACAAATCTACATTTATTGTGTGTTGTATATAAGGTCAGTAACAGAAATAAGACAAAAAAACATTGTCAGCGTAAAGCTTTTTGTGCCAGATGCAGGTTCTACAAGTCACCCTGAAGGACCTCAACAACACTATGAAAACTTTAAGGAAAAGTAAATTAAGTAATAACAGAGAACGAAAGAAATCATTAAGAAATTGAGAAAAAAAAATATGAATCCTATCTGGCATAAAAGAAGAGATAATGGCAATGACCTCGACAAACACTGTGCGAAGGCCAGCACTGTTGACAACGATCTGACAAAATTTAGGAGCCGCTGCTTAACAATTTGACTAGCTTGTGAGGGAAGAGTAACTGGATCCAAGGCTCTGTAAGATATTGGTTTCATTCCGTATGTTACTAAATTAGAATTTTCTTGATTCATTTCTCCGTTGGAGAACAACTAACCTGCAGATGAAGATTGCTCCTGCCCACAGCAGTAAAGGCTGAACATAAGAGGTGGTTACGTGATATGTACTGCTCTTTGTCCAACTGTTGTCGTTCTCCTACACAGGGAGACAAAACTATAGTGACAAGAAAAATGATTTTTGGACCAGAACATGCAAAAACCAGATAGTCGGAGAGCGTACTCTCAGAAATATGTTTCTGCTTTTTCGTACAAGTGGCACAATTCCCCATATTGCAAAAACGACAATACCGATGGATGAAGCTAATTTGATGACAAGTGGACTTCCTTGCAAACGAGGAATTGAACTGGAAAAATCCCATTTAATTAAGACATGTCATAATCCAGATATCAAATTAGGAAATACTTCCATGAACACAATACAAAGTGAAAATGTCAACACATCTAAATATAGTCGTATTTACAAATCAAGAATAGATTATTAGTGTATATCAATAATTGTTATACCATGTGCATGGTTGTCCTCAATGAGATCTAGAGCCGGATCTGGCATATCATAGTCAGAAGAAAAAATATTGAGCCAATTGCTAAAGCCTATTACTTCGAACAGGAATATATTTTTCCTTAAAATTCTATACCTTCGAGGAACTCGCAATTACATCAATTAGTATAAAACTACTCTAGCAGCTCTTCTTTTAATCCCATTCTTCACAACCGCTTATATGTTGAAATGTTACAAGCATTTCATCATATTCAGAATGTATGACTGGATTCGGTATCAATCATCCTTCCCACAGTTATGTGCACAACTAAGTGCAAGGTCTATTTTCATAGCATATACAGCTAAGGACCCTGTACAGTGCCTTCAGATATAGATTTTGACGTGTATCACATGGATAAATCAACCATTTCGAAACTGATGAACATTTCACTACAAGCATGCAGCTCCTGATTTTATCTTGTCGGATTGAACCAATTAAGTAAACATAACCATACCATCTAGATCACTAAAGGTAATTACCCTGTTAAAGTTAAGGTGGCATTCTTCACAAAAGTAATGTCCACAGAGAGGCCTTTGTTTAGAGAACATCGACATTTAAATTGCTGATTTCGGGAGTAGAAGATGCACCATCGTCTATGTATCCTCTTCGAGATACTTGTACTCCAAGGAAACTGCAACTGAAAACAACAC